CCACCGAGATCTACACTCTGTCCCGACACGACGCTCTTCCGATCTAGAAGGGTCAGGTGAGGTCGACACGTGCCCCCGCTGGGCCGCCGCCGCCTCCTGCGCCGCCGCCTCCGCCGGTGAATGGTCAGCGCTGGAGTTTGAACAGGGCCCTGAACCATCTCAACGCCATTTGCGCTCCCGGCCCCCACCTCCTTCCTCCAACAGCCGCTCGCTCCGTCACTCCGCTTCCCACAGGCCCCGCGCGGCCACCCGACCCCGCAGCCAATCGTACGGCCGCTTACTCAAACCGCCGCGCAGGCGCCGCGCCCCGCACGCGCCGGCTACTACCATTGGTCGGGCCGCGAAGCCCGACGGGAGTTGTAGTTCTCTCCCGCGAGGTCCTGGTGTCTGGAGCCGGTTCCGGAGCAGAGTTCTGGCTGCGGGCCTGCTGGACCTCACCGGCTCGGGAGCCAGTTCTAGTTCCTGGCCACGCGACGAGACGCAGGTGCGGCGCGGGAAGGCACGAGGCACAGTGCAGGCAGCTGTGTCAATCGTTTCCCCTCCAGGGACCCTCCGGTGTCTGGGGACAGTGGATCGTGCAGCTGCGCCGAGCCTGCTGGGCCACCGCCCGGACCTTGGAGGCGGGGAGCTTGGGGCCGCCCTTGCCTACGCAGGTAATGAGGACCGAAACCAGGAGGAGCCGGGTGCCGGTCTCTTCACGGCCACGATTCCGCTTTAGTCCGGCCGTTCCCCCTACTCGTCCCCACTCCGAACTCTGTCTCCTGTCCCCCACCTGTTAGCAGTGACACCACACACACACACTTGGGGTGTTGTATGTTACTAAAGAATTATCGTCATCTTTATTGAATGTGCTTACGGTGATGTGGCTTTAAATAAAAAGGCATACTGAAGTGTGGACGGGTAAAATGATCCGATGTTTATTTTGCTTTAGACTGCGCCTGTGAAAACTGGAAAAGGGGAATAAATAAACTGAGGATGTTCTTTGTTGTTGGAATTGCGGGATGTGTACACACACGCTGTCCTACCAATGTTTGTATCTAAAATTGTTCATAATAAAGTTGTTCTTTTGTTTGGTTTATTTGGAGGGGTTGCTTGTTGTTTTTAACTGACTAGTCGGGGCAGGAAGGTAGTGGATGATGGACGGAAGTATTATTTTAAATTTTCCAGTCTACGGAGACTTTTTTCCGTGACAGTGTATTACCTAATTGAGAAATTTGGAGAAGCTTCGTTTTAAGCCTTCCATGGGGAAATAGCTTTCTAAAACTTAGCACAATCAGTTTCCCCTAGGAGAAATGTGTGCGTGAGTCATCAGACTTGGTGTCTGATAGGCAGCTAATGGAGACTCGCCTGAGAAGTTAGAAAACTACTAAATGTATTTAGGGAGAAGACCACCTTTTCTGCCAGATTTACTTTTAAGGTTCTCCCAAGTTTCGAGCCCCCCTCCAATGTAGTCAGGAAACTCCTAGAGGAAAAATAAAAATTTGAGGCTGGGCAGATAAATAAGTGGCAGAGTGCTTCTCCAGCATGGCCTTGGTTAGATCCCCGGCACTCCCTTCTACCAACCTGGGGGGCGGGGGAGGTAAATGTGCCCCAGTAGGAATTTAGGTGGATTTTAAACACACTTGAATTGTTTTCATTTTGATGCCAAGTCCCATAATTTACATTCCTGCATCTGCAGTTTCCCCGATACTGTGTATTTACATTCTCATCCTGGTTTCAGAGTAAGCCACCTGTTCCTTAACTTCCTCTAAGGAACCTGTTAACAGGTCTTGCACTATCTGTGGTATACATATATGACTTATTTGGGTCAATTTTGTCCCTTTTTTTTTTTTTCAAATCGGCAGCTTGGGATCTTGTTTTGTCATTTGAAGATGACTGGCAGTGGTGCAGACTGCATTTAGTTTAATTATTTAGATGACATGGTGGTGGGTGCTAATTAAAGGGTAATTATCATCAGAGGCAAAAGGTAAGATCAAACAGCCAGAAGAGGTAGCAAGAGGCAGTTGCAAGATCTTCCTGGAGGAGTTTCTGAGACCAAGGGAAATATCCTTCTGGACTAACCCTGCTGGCATTGGGCATTTGACAGGCCTTGATGCTAAATAAAACTAAAGTGGAAAGGTTAACTATTCAAAGAAAGGGTCTTTGGCACCCTTTTATGGGGTTTTATGTTCTTGAATTAAATGATAGAACTTAGTTGTGTTGAATTCCTGCTACTGAAAGAATGACCCATAGTCAGGATTTAGGCATGATCTTGTTGGGAAGGGATAATTCCTGTCCCCACCCCAGCTCCAGCCATCAGAATCTGCACGTTAGTGGGATTCCCCCAGGCAATTGGTTCACACATCAAAGTTTGACAAGCACTGGTTTATAATATAGTCACAACATTTGGCAACAATATAATCCACCGAGTTTGTGTGAGGAAGGGGGAGAGCAAGAGTGTGCACCTATAATGCCAATCCTGAGGCTGAGGCAGGAGCGTTGAACATGCCAGGTCAGTATGGACTGAGAATGGGGTTTGGCATATATAACTTGGTGGCAGATCACTCACAGGTCATATGCAAGCCCTGGGTTCTATTCCCAGCTCAAAAGAGTAAAGAACCTAATACATAGGAAGAATGAGGCTAGGGATTTTAGAGAACTCGTTTATACCTTAGACTCTTCTCCCTAGTATACAGAAAAGGAAACAGGAAGGCTGGCACTTGCTTAAGATACTGCAACTAACAAGGGAAGATCAACTTTATTGGATGTATATGGATAGTCCTAAATGTAGCAGAGTTACACGTGAAACCAGGTATGGTTGCACATACCTATGGCCCCTGTGCTAAGGAGGCTGAAGAAGAGGGTCATGAGTTTCAGATCAGCCTGGGGTTGGGAAAGTGGGGAAAGAAGTTGTACATGGTTTGGTTTGGTTTTTTGGGACAGGGTCTTGCCTTGTAGCGTTAAAAAAAAAAAAAAAAAAAAAAAAAAAAACCTAAAAACTGCACTTTAATGGGGAATGAGGAAGGATGTCTGGACGGAATGGGTGACTGTGTCAGAAGCGTAGCCCCCTGCGGACTAAATCCGCTGGGGCCTCCAGGATCTGGCTCTGTAGCCCTCGGGCGACGTCCTCACAGTCCTGAAATGTGGCCACGCGATAGTCCACAGTGCCCAGGGCATAGCAGCCAGAGGACACCAGCAGGTAGGCAGGCAGTGGCCACAGGACTTCCTGGCAAGGGAAAAGTAGCTCCAGGCCCAGATCTCCCATGGTCAGGGCAGCCCAGGCAGAGCCCAGGAGCACCAGTCCCCAAAGTCACTGGGTTAACTTCGTCATGGTCGCTCTGGGCGTCGCGTTAAGGTCCCCATCAGCGTCCGGAAGTCCTTGCCTTGTAACTCTTGACTGTCCTGGAACTCACTCTGTAAACCAGGCTGGCCTCAAACTCAGAGATCAGCCTGCCTCTGCTTCCCAAGTGATGGGATTAAAGGCGTGCTTCACCACCGGCCAGCAGTTGTACTTGGTTTTTGAAGGGAAATAACGTGCCTGGGTCTGAGGAGGTTAGACGCATGAATACCCAGCTGTGGTGTGTGAGGGCTCTCCACCTTCCTAGCCCTGTATCAGGACTGACAGAGATTGTGCCACATCCTGGGCTTGTCTTGAGGGGAGTTGAGACTCTTCTAGCCCCAAAGACTGTACGACCTTAACCTCTTTAGTTCTGTGGAAGGCAAATGCTTTGTAAGGCATTTGTGGCCATGGTCCTGAGTGCCACACCAGAAAGTGAATGGATGACGTACAGGCCGGACCTATTTCTTTATTCATTTGTTTGGTTGCTTTTGAGACAGGGTCCTGCAGTACTCAGTATGACCTTCAACTCTTTAACTTTCTGCCTCTACTCCCAAGTCCTGCAATTACAGATGTGTACTGCTACACCGTGTTAATGTTTGTCTCAGAAACAGCTCTTTTCTCCTCCACAGTCCTCACCCCCGATGTCATGTGATATTCACCTGATCAAAGACCCAGGTATTTCCTTCATCTGATGCCCTTTTTCCCCTCCTATGTCTAAAGGTTTCCCACCACTGTCCTAGTTACATGGCTACAATCCTAGATCTGAACCCAGTCTGCCCCTTCATGCTACAGGCTGCCTTTCTGTGTGCTGTTTAGTGAAGGCAAGACCCCCACTACCTGGACTCCCCCTGAGTGGACTTACACTCTCTCCTGTAAAGAAAAGTAGCAGGGCGCCTTTCTTCTGCTGTTCCTGTTCCCTTGTTCTAACTCAGGCATGGGCTGTAGCAGAACTAGCTTTACAAAATAGACCCTCAGTTCTTTTCTGAAAAATGTGTCGTAAAATATAACTTAAAGTTTAGTTTAAGCACTCAGGAGGCAGAGGCAGGCGGGTCTCTGTGAGTTCAAGGCCAGCCTTGTTCACAGAGTGAGTTCCAGGACAGTCAGAACTATTACACAGAGAAACCCTGTCTTGAAAAAAAAAAAAAAAAGAGTCCAGTACCATGAAACCAGAAGTGAACAACATTTTTTTCCCTTTGTACTAAGATGTGGGGAAAAAATTATAGACTGTACATTTGCATATTGTAGTGGTTGGTTACAAAGCACTACAAGATGTGT